CTTATAGTCCTATTATATTCCTACTATATTCTTGGGGTTCCCTGTTTGGGGTTCCCATTAGAGTCCCTTTAGGGAGAAGCATGACAGGGATACGCTGAAAACTATGCCCTAAACACTAAATGGTAGTTTCCATTTTCTTTTCCATTATCCCAATATTACCCTAATATAACCCCCATGCCTTCCTGTCTCCCTTTGGCCTTTCTCTGCGGAGCTGGTGGGATCTCCAGCCAATGCGCGCTTCATTATCAGGGCTGCGCGCACGCCCTGCCAGGCAATAGAACACTTGAGAGTCCTGACTTACAAGGGCAGGGATCACGAAACTTGGTCAGATCCGGGAAATGGAGGGAAGAGACGAGCTACAGTCAACATGTCGTGGGATCCTATTCGGGAATATATCAGGGACCATGCTAAACTACTAGAGGGACCCCTGTCCACCCTATGCTGCTTTGGTAAGATATATGCAATAGCTGAGATGCGGTTGCCAACTGCTCAGCCCATCTGCAAGGCCTTGCGCATGGACTCAAAGGCACTTTGGACCTTCTGGCCAGCCTGGCGGGAACTGGAATGCCACTTTTCCATATTGTGTGTATATGGCAGATCACTAATGCTGCAACTTCCCACAGACCCTTAATGTCATGCCAGCCCAACCGTCTGAGGTTCTTCGTCTTCATTCCTGGCTGAGGGGGGGCAACCAGGTTCTGTCGTGTAATTCAAGGCTCCTCATTAGCCGGAACCAACTATTTAAGATCGGTTGAAGACTGATGCCCTGCGAGCCAGACCAGGACCAGACTTCCAAAACTGGGCTTCGCACAGAATCTGATGACATATGAGACCTCCTAATACTTCCTAAACTCGTTGAGGGCCTGATCCGATCCAGGCTCTTCCGCGCTCGGGCATAAGCCGAGCGTCGGAAGCGGTAGTTGCCTCTGAAACCGCAACTCTTGTACGGACAAGCTGAAGCACCGACCGCATCAGCAAACACGCACAACAAAGAGCACCTTCATCTTCTTTACGACGAACCGGTGATGGAGGTGGCGCCTTCACAATACATCGAACTGAGCACCATGCGTCAGCACAGCCCCGTTCCAAAGCCTGAGCTTTCTTCCTTGCCACCATCCAGCACACCGCTAGGACAGTCTCAGGGTCGCCATGCTAGGCTGCCAGCGAGTCGGAAACATGTTAGCTCATGGGTTCACTTGCAGGCTGGGTTTGGCTTTGTGCTTGGCATCGGACCTGGTAGCAAGTTAATCTGAAACTTTAAGGGCCCTGGTCCATGTCGAAGCATAGGCTTGAGCCAGGGCAGCGGGGCATGTCACTTCTTTTGCCACAACTTCACACCAGGATGAGCATCACAAGAAGCCCTTATACCCTTGCTTCAAGCTCCTAGAGGCAGCTGGCCTTCGGTAGCACATCGGACCTTGCTCAGTCAGTGTCATTAAACGTCTTGCACATGTATATAGATATGTGATATCTGTATCTGTATACACATACAAAGCCAGAACTGGAGAAAAGGCAGACCTGCCCGAACTGCAATACAGCGCTTTGCAGGATTGTCTGGTGCGTTGACAACCTTTGCGAAAACACTTTGTCGCCAACTGCAACTTCCTGCTGAAGCTGTAGCAGGCAATTTTTGTCCGCGACTCATAAAGTTTCACCTAGACCTTCAGACTCTACACCCAGAAGAAGCTGATATTTCCTAGGTCAACTTCATTTTACCAGACCCTGGTACAAAGGCAACATGGGACAGCAGCCGAGCAGGCAAAGCATCTGGACACCCAGGTAAACAGGTTTTGAAGCCAAGAGGGACTCTGAAGACTATCACATACTTTCACTCACGGCATGGCAGAGTTCAGTGCTGCCATACTGCATCAACACCCCGGGGCAAAGCCAGAACTGTCTGGAATTTACAATTGGTGTGCGTCGTTCACGTCGATTTCTCGCCTGCACGCGCACATGCCAATGCAAATGGCTCCTACACTGAGCATCAGGCTCTTGGATGTCCTGGACAGGCCTGGTCTTGGCGGTACGGGCCCTTCTCTCTTGTCATTCATTCAACAAACGCACCTGCAGAACAACTTGGGTTAGACACTGGCTTTATGCCAACCTCAGAATCGCGTCCAAATCCCATTTGCAGCACTGTTCCTAGGATGAAATTGCCAGTGCACCTTTTTTGGGGGGGCGCCTGAGTCTCGTTTAGTGAAGATATGGCTCGAGCCTCGTAATCAGCTGTGGCAGGCGCCGCAAGTCTCTGGGCCAGCCACGGAAGGCAGGCCTCCAAGCAGTGTGGATACCTGTCTGCCTTGTTGCTAACCTGAGGTTTGTAATGCTTGTATTCAGCAGAGCTTGGTGCATCTTATGCATCACACGCCATTTCCCACCCAGGGACACAAGGCGCGGTAAAGGCGTCGCAGCGCCTTAAGCCTCAGGCCTTCAGCTTCGGCCACACTACGGGGACAGCTTTGCCTTGAGGCTTCACAGCTTGACGGTCAGCCCAGGGGCCTGAACCCTGAACGCGCCAAAAGCGCATCCGGCGTCAGCTGCAACATGTGCATTACCAGGGACTATATCAGTCGCGAAACTAAAGAATCGATCTCTTCTTCCCAAGAACGATTCTTGCAGGCACCGCTGGGAACCGATGGCAGCCATTGCGTGAAGCTGAAAATACGGATATCACGAATATCACGATCCTTTGACTTCTTTCCACAGAAACATCTAAGCTCCGTACAAACCATGACAAACATTGACAAACCACACATACGCATCATGCATTGCTGCTGTTCTGTTTCTTCGCACAAATACTGTAGGCCCTCCCTTGCAGCAGTAATAATAAAAGTGGGGGTGGCGGTAGCACTTGTAGCAGCTGCTGCCGTTGCTGCTGCTGTTGTCGTACTCAAAGAAGAATCAAAGAAAGACTGTACTAGAGGTACCACAGTGCTAAGTACTCCATTTCTACAACAACGATTGCGTAATAGTGGTCGTATAGTACGGGCAGTCTCTGGCAATTCGGGCATTCGAATGACGCAGCATCCATTTTCAATCAAAGGCACCTTTACGGCAGAAAACATTATTGCATTCGAAACCGGCGTTCAGCCAAGCAGGAGAAAAAAGAAGGACATGCTGCCACCGGTCATGGATTTCCCGCTTCCCATCACGACCCGGAGGTCAAATGTTGTCTCACGAGGTAGTCCGAGGCTCCTGCAGAATCAACCGATCCATTCCTCCATCCCCTACTGACCACCATAAGTGGTGTATCAAATGCTTCACACAAAGCTCACTGCTCTCTTTCACTCAGACTCGCCCACCTGCCGCGCAACTTCCGCTTCAACTGAATAGGATTGTGAGCTATGGCGTCCTCTATTGGGCTGTCCCAAATGCACCCAAGCTTAACGCCGCACCGCAAGAGTCCTCCTCGCGTTGCCCAGCCACAACAACGACCTGCTTCGACATCAGGCCAGGTCAGTAGCATGCGAACTGCCTTTGGATTCCTTACAGTCAGCGAGATGGCCTCAAGCTCTGATTCGGATGCAGAGCTGTGTGGAGACAAGAAAGCAGCCTGGCATAACAAGTTTGTGCTAAAACATTTGCACATGAAGCACAGCCAGCTACCTGGGCAGGCCAGCAACAGATCTGTTCAAAGAGCACATGGCTGTAAGTGGCACTGTAAAGAGCTTCGTCCAGTCCTCTCCATCCGTCGACTTCTTGGTCCCTCTGTCTTTGCAGCAAAGCTTTCCGGCAATCAGACCTCTCGGCTCAAACGGCTAGGCATGTGGATGAGAAAAGCACTTTATGGCCCACATAACTGGAGCATTGAACGGGTCTGCTTGCAGCTGAGCTTCCGATGAGGGAAGCCGCCATGCTGCTATTTACGCCAGCAGCAACCCGCAGCTGCAGGTCGCGTCCCTCTGGAGATTGTGTGTGCGTGTGTCTTTCACGGAGAACTAAGTTCAGGGATTCCACACAAATGCCATGATGTCTCCAAGGCACTAGGTGCTCCTCTGCTGATGCTGGCCGCAAAGCCAGGAAGGAGCTAAAGTCATGCCTCAGAGAAAATTTGCGTTGCAACGAAGTTCGCATGGCATCCGCGCTTGAAATAGTTATGCTCGGGGGGAAACGCCGTCGCAGGCGCCGTGAGGCCGTGAGCTGCAACTGCAGGGCAGGCAGCCGCACACTCAAGAATCTCAAATTGGACAGAAGAACTAAGGATGACGAGCTTGCCAAGTAAACCCCGAGGCGCAGCACTGAGAGAACGCAAAGGCAACATGGCACGGCTCTTACGGGATGCACGCAAGCATGCCTAAGCCATCTTAAGAACAGACTCACAAAGCTTGAACACACCGTACTCCAGACTCCCGCCATGTGCATCGCCAAGGCCAGAATCATGGTCAGAAAAAAAAGCCAGAAGCGAGTTGGGCAAGAAGCTGATTGCACCTGGAGCGCCACTGGCATTTAGGGTTAACAAATCAACTGTAGCAGACGGGGATCTGAATTTGGGAGCTATCGTGTACAAATCAATCACGTATGGAAATCCAATACTTGAGTGGTCCTTGAGGCAAGCACCGCAAGAGCATTCCAGGTCGGCAATCTCTGCCGGCATGGCTGCTCACCGAGCTAAAGAAACCCAAAATTTCAGTTCAGACAGCTGTGGAAGATACCGTCACCTTTTTCAGGCTCCTGAAACTCTGAAAATATCATGTCGATACGACGCTTCTTTGAAGCTGTTGTCTCTCCCTAATGGCGTAGCAGACATCAAGGAGAAGCATTGGCTCTGCAGAATACCATGATGATGCAGGAGCTGTCATGTTTATAAGAACTAGATTGGCCTGAGCCCCGTTTTTTGTTGCCAGGCTGGCAGCCACTGGCACTTGAAGCTTGAACATTGCGGGTTCGCACAAAGTTTTCAGCTCGACCACGCTGTGGCCTCAAAATCACCCTAACCTAACCTTCCCTGGTTCATTGACCCTGGGAATCACAGCTGCATCCTACAAAGCACGACATGACCCAGCCAGCAGCCCGCTGCTTCTCACAATGCTGCACAAGGTGCACTCTCACCCTCAACATCAGGCAAAGGTAGTTGGTAAGGAAATATTCAAGCGCATACTGGTGTAACCGCACAGGGGCAAGAATTCTTCTCATATTCCGCTCATGCAAGCTTCTACACCGCCACGACACGAAAGATGAGTCCGGGATGTGTGGAGAGGAGCCCTTACCAACAAGCCACCCCGTATCATAGGATTTCAGAAACTAAATCCTGTAGCACGGCAACCTAACATTCCAGCCTTGAACTCTAAATTCTGAACACTGGGACTTAGAAACAAGTTCCTTCATTATGGCAAGTGGAAGTTGGCCTGCCAGGTGGAAGGCGGCTGCCTCGAAGAGCTGCGGCCAGCTCGGACAAGGCCTGCCATCAAAACCGCCAAAACTGTCTCAAAGGAGTCCCATACTTGCAACTATTCCTCTACAACACCCTTACCCCCACCGCAATTCTCAAAGTCACCGTCATCGTCATAATAATCATCGCAACCGTCGTCATAACCACAGTCATGGTAGCGACACTCGTCGTCATACTACTAGGAGTAGCAGGAGCAGCACCAGGAGTAAGTGGAATTGTAGCAGTAGCAGTCGTAGGAGGAGGAGGAGGAGCAAGAAGGGCTGTGGCAGGAGCAGGAAGAGGAAGAGCATCATGAGACATTGCCTTTAGTACATGATTATGAGTTTTGTACTGCTCATGCCAAACACAGCCTCGGTCCGCAGCTTGGCTAGCCCAGCATAGAGCACATCCAGCCAAGGCCCCACATGAGGGTCCTCGCAAATTCTGAGGATCAGGGTTGAGAGCTTCGGGACATCAAAAAATGCCTGCCAACTCATCATAGGCAGCCTACCTGCGATTGCACTTTGGGCGGATGGCGTGACTCGACCTTGGCCGCTTGCAGAAGTCCAAGACGCTGGGAGAAAGCAGCAACTAAAAGTGGACCAAGCAGTATCAATTCAAACATAATCACGGAAGCATGCAACAGCCAAAAACTAAGCCGAAGCCGAAGCCGAGCTTGTGGCATCGACAATCAACCAATACAGGTCTCGCCTCAAAGATTTCCAGCTTCTGGGTATCGCTACACAGGCTGATGGGCACATGACATATGTCATTCCAGCCGTGCCTGAGCTGCAGCTTTGCTTGGACCGCTCTTGTCGCCAAAGCCCGCCTTTGGCTCGAAAAGTGAAGCATGTGAAGGAAACGCAACAAGCAAAAAGTGAGCGAGTCAAACCTTTTCCTGCCTCAGCTTGCAACCCTGCCATAGCGCTGCCGCCCGGCTTTGAGGCTCAGCACCTGAAAAAACAAGCGCCTCTGACACACACGAGGGCCCACAACCTGCTTCAATAAGGCCGGATCATGACAAGTTCTCCACAAGCTGCTCCGTCAGCGCCAGTCCACAATTGATGCCACCTACGGCAAGATCGGAAAGACTGGTGATGCTTCAGGCAAGGGAAACGGTCAGGCTTGACATGCAGAACAACTGCCTGTCGCCAGCTCTGAAGGACTCGTCGGCGACCTTCCAGAGTCATCTAAAGCCCCTGGCTTCCCAAAGAAGACCATGAGAAAAAAACTCGCCTTGCAACCTCGGACGGTAATTTCATCCCGGAATGCGGCCGTGCCTTCCAAGCTCAGGAGCCTTAAAGTGCAAATTTCGGTTTAATGGTCTCATCCCTGAAGCTGAAAGCAGAGATTTTGAAGCCGACTGTGGTGAAGTCTTCAAAAGCCCCACAGACAATTTGCGGCTGGCTGAAGCTTGGCAGGTGCCTTCTGTCTCGATCTCCAAGCTCTCTGGATCCTTTCACAGCTGCCTTGCAGAATTGAAACTCCAACAACTCCAACAACAGAAATCGAGTTCATCAAGAGTACCCCTCAGGGGGTGAGCGATCAAGAAAAAATTTGAAGCATCAAAAAAAAATCGCCCAGCGCATCAAAAACCACGTTTTAAGCATAAAAAACTTTTGTATGAAATCTAATAGGGACTAGGACAAAGGGCAAGCATCAAAAAAAAAAATGTTGTAGTAGTAGTAATAATAGTAGCAGTAGTAGTAGTAGTAGTAGTAGTAGGTATGAGGTAGAGCTGGCCTCAAACGTGAATAGTAGTAGTAGTAGTAGTAGTAGCAGTAGTAGTAGTAGTAGTAGCAGTAGTAGTAAGTAGTGGTGGTAATAGCAGTAGTAGTAGCAGCAATAGTAGTAGTAGAAGTAGTAGTAATAGTAGCAGTAATAGTAACAGCCACTGTAGGAGTAGAAATGGTTAATGAAAAATTAGGAAAAACGTGTAAACTATGAAACAGCTGGAAAGATGAGCACATGACGAAAAATCGGGAAAATCAGCAAATAATCAAAATTAAACATCATGAAAATAATGAAGTGAACAAAGTTCATGGAAAATGACAATTTATGAAACATGAAAAGTCATGAGAAATGATGGAGGAGAAAGATACATGAGAAACGTGTTGATAATGATGAGAAAAACATGGAAATAATGATAGATATCCAATTTCTGAAACATGAAGAAAATGAAAATCAGTAAAAATCATGCAAAACATCAAAAATGATGGAAGTAATGCACAACAAGAAAAATCATGACAACAATGAACTATGACAAGTATGACAAGTATGAAAATGAAAAATAATGAGAAATGATAGAAAATGATGAATGAGGAAACATGGTAAAAAGATGAGAAAATCATGGGAATAATGATGAAGGATGAGAAATGGTCCATGGTAACGGTAACACATGATGGAACATCATGAGAATCATGAAAAAGCGTGAAAATCATGAAAAACAATGAAAAATGACAAAAAATTGTGGGAAAAGATGAAAATGGCAAGAAATGTGGAAAATAATGAAATAACGAACAGACAAAAAGGAAACTGATGAAAAGTCATGTTGAAAAAGGGGAATATGATGGCAAACGCTCGCGTGAATGTGCTTTGTAAAATGACAGCGGGGGGTTTGGGGGGCCGCAGCCACCCCCCCAATCGCAAAACCTGGACAAAGATTAGGATACAGTATGCGCCTTCTACTGCCACGTTAATTTGGCAATGTGATGTGATTAATGTTATGAGATCAACAGAGATGGGCATGACGAAGATGTATGAAACTCAATGAAACGTGATGAAAAATAATGAAAATCATGGAAAATGGTTCAAGATTCTGAGAAACGATGAAACATGACGGAAACTTGTAGAAACGCATGAAAATCCTGAAAGTTGACAAAACGTGAAAATAGTGTGAAATTATCACAATGATAACCTGAAAGATGACAACAGAAAAATAATGGCATATCACGCAAAACCCTGAAACACTATGAAAAAGTAACGAAATATCATGAACATGAAGGAACAACCCTGTAAAATGATAAAAGCATTGGACAACTGATAGAAAATCATGGAATGTCATAAGAACTATGAAGCTGATGAAGCATGATGAGCAATCCTTCCTTCCTTCCTTGCTTCCTTCCTTCCTTCCCGCCTTCCTTCCTTCCCTCCCGCATGCCTGCCTTCCTCCCTCCCTCCCTTCCTTCCTTCTGTCGTTCCTGCCAGGGTACAGGGTCCAAGCCCGAGCATCAAAAAAAAATCCGGATTGCTGCACTCCCCAGGAAATAAGCAATAAGCGTTTTTTGGATGCTTAAAACAATGTTGATGCTTATTATAAAAAAACTACCATCTTCAAAGCTGCACACTGCCGCACGCTGAGAGGCAGACAGCGGAGTAGCCTCGCTTTTCGAAGCTGCTTCGGCAAGCGCTGCCTGCCCAGAGTGAAAAAGATGATGTTTTCTGGCTCAGGGCTGGGAAATCCACAACATGGTACTTCTGCGGGTATAGGTCATGTCTCAACCTCAAACGGGAGCCTGCCCAATGTTTGCCGCCACCAGCGACTTATCCGGACAGCCTCATTCCACCACGAAAGAGACGAGCAACAAGGTGCGACAACGAAAGTTCAAGGATATCAGCGCTATGCGTTTTGCAAGCTTTCTGTACATGTTTCGTATGCTGACTATGCGTTAAGGGTAGGCTCGACACATTCTGGGAAAGGTCAGACCGGTCAGGGAATCTTGACTGGGGCATGCTCAAACCTGGAAACTGCTGGATCCCCCTGCTCGTCTATTCCCGGACAACCGGCTGGTGCTTCGGCAGATTAATGTGCAAATGACTGCAGATTTCATTTTGTGACCGCATCATGCAGCAGGTACATCTCTTCCTCTTCTACACGGTGCGTCACCAGAGCTTCTTGCACAACCCGATCAATATGTTCACTAGAAAGCTTGAAATCATAAATGATCGGCCCTAGCTGGACTGGAAAGATATGGGAGTGGCGCAGGCAGGCTGCGAGGAGCATGTCTTCGATTGCCTCCATCCGCGCATCCAGGAGCTGCTTCATGCAGTGCTGGAGGCCCGGGATTGCGCTGCGCAGTGCGGGGCCGCTCAGGATGTAGCCCAAGCCGTGTGCAAACTCTTTCCACTTCTTGTAGCCTGGACCATGTGACAGGGTTACCTGGCCTGCGTAGATCTTTGTGGAAGCATTGAGCTCCCGAAGGGTCTTTAGGATCCTAGGCACGTGCACATAAGCATCCATGTCGGCCTTCATGAAGAATTTGCAGTCCTGCAAGCTCGCACATCTGTCAGCCCTTCCCATAACATGCTTAGTCTACACCACACCACACTTACCTAAAAAAGCGATCTCAGCTCCCTCAGTCTGGAGAATCCTTGACCTCCCAGGCTTGATGCCTCGCTATCTCCTGAGCATTGATCTGCTGCCAAGGGTCGGATGAATGGTACATGGCGAGGGTGAGCCACATGTAGATAAACCGCAAAGCATTGAACTTGGGGTGTCTCACATCTAGATCCCCTCTCAGCGACAAGGTAGCAGGGGCCCAGTCTGAAAAAAGAGGTCGGCCATACAGAAGTGCCAGCGCTGGGATTGCGTCGTGCAAGTCGGGTTTTAAAGGCAGGTATGGTTTCGCCCACGTAGTCACAGCAGACACTGCGCGGTCAACCTGCTTGCGGGTAGCATCAGTAGTGGGCATCAGGATGCAGAGTTGTTTGCGCCCACGGGCAGCTTGCAGCTTCTGCACGGCAGGTCCTCGTGGTCGTGAAGGCTGTAGCAGCTCGCGCTTCAACACAGAAAGCCCCAATTCTGTCTGGGAGACAGCCAGCTTCAGAGGGCACCGTGATATACTTCGAGCAACACGAAAGCTCCATGGGGGTGCCAGGGCCAAAGGCTCCAGCAGTGATTGAGTAAAACAACCAACTTCATTTCGAATCATGTCTCGTGCTGGATCTTCCAGTGGGCTGACAAGCCTTACACGCCTGTGAATCTCGTGCAGATTTGCTGGGGTCTTTGCAGCAACGAGGAGGATGCAGTGTCCAGACGGATGCAGTTTCCGTAGTCGATGCAGTGGCGAGTTTCCTTGCTCCTTGGTCAGGGCTCGCATGAGCACCTCCTGTTCAGGGTCACCTAAACGTTGCAACATTAAACGTTGCTGATGCCAAAGGCAGAGAGACGTGTAAAACCCTGAGGGCCAACTCCACCCAAAACCGTGCGCATCACTGCTAGTCGAAAAGTAGTCTGCGCATTTCGCAAGCCATCCAGATGAGAGCAGGCTCAGCAGCAGCTTGCGGCTGATCACGTAGCCGCTCGACTCATCTGCTAAAGGAACTCGTGATTCTCCGGTCATTGGGCTGAGGCCGTAGTACTCCGGGTACAAACCCTTCACGCAACTCAATCTCTGCGCAACTCGTTTGATGTTGATGTAGCTACGGCCGTCCACATGCATAAGCCAATAACAGCTATTGAGCCACGTGGATGACTGGTTTGAGTCTTCCAGCCTTCGACCTATAGTAGACCAAAGGCTCATGGCCTGAAAGTATGCGTGATCTGGACCTATGCCAGGCGCTGGGTCCAGTTTCAGCCGGATCGGTGCTCGTGTGCAGTTCTTGCAATCCAGATGCTCTGTGCTCCAAGGCCAATCGGCAAAAATGGTCCTGTTTGTGGCCCAGGTTTGCTGTATGGGGCCTTCCCAAGCAAACCCCCGCTGGCCCCCTGTGACAAACACGCACAGCTCGTCCAAGCTCATGGTGGGAGCTGACCAGCTTCGCCATCATGCTTACAAACGGCCCAAACTCGTGCCTGAATTGGGGCTTAGTAGGGCCTGGTACTCCTGCGTCACGCAGGTGCTCTAAGGCAAACGCAATGCTGAAGCCTCCCTGAGATCCCGCGCAGAAAGCTCCCGATACTGCAGTCGCAGGAGGGCCAGCTCAGAGCCTCTCAGCACGCCAAGGCCGCAAAACTGTGCAGAGTTCTGAAGAGTGTGATTTTTCTCTGAAAGGTGATTAACCAATGCAAGACAGACGTCCGCTGCATCAGGTTCTGACCCGATCCTGTGCTCGGAACAGGCTGCATGACGCGTCAATGTTCTCTGCTAACGATATTCGGAGAAGCTTTCAGTGTCAGGTGCAGGTTCATGACAAGACTTTTGTAAATCTGTTACAGCTGCCACGCCAACTGAGCTCGAACAACTTCCATGATGTGATGGGTGAACGTGTGACAAGTGAAATTGCTGCAGCTAGGCCGTAGAAGTCGAAATCAACCCCGCACAAAGGCATGCTTCGGAGCTGTGCTTGGAAGAGCCTTGCAATGCAGCCACGCTTTTGTTTCCCGTCTAGCGTCTTGCGCGACCAATATGCTGTACGACTGCCCGGCAAAAAAAGCCTGCTACGAAGCAAGGCAACCCTCATGTCTATATTTGATTATCCCAGGCAGGATGGATGCGCATTGGCGTCAGGCAATGGGAGCTTTCCTGTACAGAATCAGCAGCTCCATTCAACCTGCATCAATCTTCATGGCGCCTTGGCCACCTTGGGGAGTACTCATATTCTGCTGAGCCTTCAGAATCTGAATCTAAAATGCGCTTCACCTGCTTGAAGACCACGGAGACCTGCAGGGCAGTTGTCGCACACATGGCCTGCTATCCCCGTAACGGCCGACGGAAACGCCAACTGCGCTCCTCATCAGGCAGCATGGCTGCAATCGTGTGATCCGCCAAGCGTTCACCTGTAAGGCTTGCAGCAATCTTCGCTTCACAAGAACCGGCCTTGCGCCATGCAACACATCCACCTGCCTCCGTGAAAAAACTCTGCATCCCGTCGATGCCCCCGTTCTACACCTGGACGATTAACGGCGACCTTCTTCAAGAGGGCCTGCTTGGCATTGAAGAGTGTCCTCAGGTACGGTGCTTTCTCAACGTGCGCGCCCTGAAGAACATTGAATCGAACGCTGCTTTGGGGATGTACAGCTTAACAAAACCAGAATTCTGAAAGTACGAGAGCTAATGTCAATATTCCTGTCACCAATTAATGGACACTGGGCTCTTTCAGGGATTACTACAGTGCTGAAAGATTCCTCATAAGAGACCGTTTGTTCACCCCTTGTTCCCCTCGCGCTGGCAATGTTGCGAATAATAGCTAATGTACAGTCTTGCTGAACAACAGCTGTACTGAAAGTGAAACATTGCAAAACCAAGCAGCTGCTTCGGCTGTAATGTCAACTCCATAGCCTGTCCATGACACCACCACACTCTCGTTCTCGAGAGCTGAACGCACACAATGATAGATGTGACCAAGCCCCTGAGCCTAACAATGAGCACCCGACTCTCCCAGATGGCAAATGGCAGAAAATGGTGGGAAATTTCAACAAATGGTACAAAGCAGTAAGAAGAGCAATTACTTCTGTAGCCGACACCAGAAGCTAACTTTACAGCCTTAGCAGAGTTCTTGATTTGTTTCTGGTGGACTGCAACTTTGACCTGGATAGCTACACCTCGGTGCTTCCATTTGTCATAACATGGCTGCTTCAAATGTCCAAAAGTTTCAATCTATAGCATTCATGACTTCACTGTTTACGGACAGCGATCTACATCCAAAAAATCATATCTTCAGCATGAGTGCACAGACTATGAAGCCACGCATACCTGTGATGACCAATGGCCTCCCCTGTCAAAGTCCGGAAAGACACCCGTCGCGCCGCACCACGCTTCAGTGCGAACGTGCGCAGGAGCTGGGCCCAAAGCTCCTGGCGCGTTTCATGTTATAACATCCCAACCTTTGACAACGCAACGACACACATCTGGCAAAAGCCATTTTTGCGGAAGTGTCGCAAAACAGTTGTGGTACACGCGCATTGACAGGCAGAAGACTGACAACGTCTATCTCATTTTCAATGCCCTCATTTCCCATGCCAACCAATCGCATATGGTCCTCCTGTTGTAGCTTCAAGAAGCGGCCAACGGCTTCATTCCTGACCAAAATGGCAAGCGAGTCGATCATTACAATTGCAACAGATCATTTTTTGCTACACAAAAACAAAATCAACCTTTTGTTCCCTTCCAAACCGAACCCACAACAGTCACATGTTTCTTGCGCGTGCTCTCTTGTCACATCAGTGGGAGGATGTTTCTACGCAAGACAACAACCTAAGGAAGCTGCTTCTGACCGTCATCCAAGTCATCCAGAAACTGTTGCACGTCCGCTTCAATGGGCTGCGCAATTGTATCATCCGTCATGGCTCACAATTTATCGCGCTTAATGGGTTCTGTTGCAATGCTGCTCTACGAGATGAATCAGTTAGTGAAAGTTAGAAGAAGCATGGTGTATGAAAGCGGCTTTCAATCAGTTGCACGTTGTGAAGAAGCACTGTTGTGCAATCGTCTGTACCTCCTGGCGCCAAAATTTGACACAACCAAGAATTGATCATGCTCTGCAAACACCACTGACCATGCTTTGTATGACATTGATTTCACCGCATGATTGCTTGGATATCCTGATATCCTTGATTGAATCATTTTCGTGGGACAAGACCAGAAAGCGAGACCTTGATGAATGACCAACCCGTTTTGAACATCTGCTTGAAATCCGTTTCTTCGTGAAAATTGCTGGCTCCTTGTCTCTTCTTAAAGCATCTTGAGACAACTGTCGCTCCGTAAGCAACTGGCGTCATTCGGGTGCATTGGGCATACGTGCACTTCATAAACGTGGTATCCAATTAGGGACTGGCAACATGAGTTACTCATTCTCTGAGCCTCGATAGCTTCCTCAAATTCTGTCTGAAAAGGATGACAAAATTTCAACAATCCAAATTTGGGCCGCATGGGAGGTCTTCAATCACTGGACAAACACAAAAAAAAACGCGGACTGATCCCTGTCCAACAAAAACATACGAATTCTTCTTCATTTGCTTGATGTGGATCAGAAAGTACGCTCCCAGCCAGCCACGTTCACCGGAAAAGTTCGACGTGTTCTCTCCAACTTCGTTACCCTCTTCATTATTTGGTTTTACCGGCTGACATGCCAAGGCCAACAATTCCATTGGCTACATGTCGTTGTTCTCGGCATGCCCAGCCGTCCGCTGCTTGCAAGCACAATCTCCAACTCCATGCAAGAGCATTGTGTGCCACGTCCAACACCCCTCCCACATCATAATTTACGTCTCATCTTGAAACCGCCAGCTGTAAGGCACTCACATGTTGGCAGACAGCCCGATTGTCATAGCATGCACGATCACATTGTTTCCCGCCTGCGAAACCTAACGAGCGCTGCAAAACATCGAACCCACCGGCCCATCGCCTCATTATTTGTTTAAACAACGAGCGCCGGACCATGACAGAACCCCTCGCAGTTAGTGTGCTTTTCTGTGAGAAAAAATGCGGAAATGTTCAACATTAAGTTTCTTACGTCCGGCTCCAACATCCTCACGGCTCCCTTTTGCATCACATAATGGTGGGGAATAGGTGTCAGCGTGATGGAATTTGGACGGCCCCATTGCGAAACTGATGAGACTGAAGGTGTTGCGTTGTTTGCTAGCTTGCATGCTAGCTATTGCTGGAGCATTTCTTTTTTTGTTTCTACTTCCGGTGCCGTGGGTGGGTCTTTTGCGAACCCTGCTGTTTGATAAACTCAAGACGCAAAGCCGCAGAACAAGCGAAGCAAACTAAACAAAACACGCGTGAACCCACATGTCAAACACTGAGGGACACGTTGAAACAGAAGGTCCTGCTTGTTGTTGGCGGCAAATTTTGCTACACATGTAACCCATACACTTGCATGGGGTCACAACTTACTTGTTTTCACACACGAGCTTCGGAGATGCAAAGGCGTTGACGCAGTTCTCCAAACGAGTGCAATAACCCGCATGGGTTGACAGCAGTGCTCACGTCTAACGTGAAAATTCATCCGTCTGTTCAAACGGTACCTGTACCTGATGGCACCTGCGCTGCATCTGCCAAAGCAAAAAGATGCAACTTCATCTTGTCAAGATTCCGGCCGGCAATCGCAATGAGCTCCGCTAGCGCGGCCCAATGGTCTGCAAGCGCTTCTTTTCAACACCCGCAAAGCTGCCCAGGAGCCACTTTACCCGTCAGCGGTGCAAAAAAGCGCGGATGCAACATATGCCCCTTATTGTGCCGCCTTTAAAAAAGTAAGAAGCGCGGACTCTCATTTTTATTTCCAAAGTCTTCGGGAAGGCACACCAAATCAGCGTAAGCGAATCACATAGAAAAAGCTTCACAAATCAATCCGCACAATAAAAGCGGATCCATCAAATATACACACAATCAAAATACTCACAGCTCAGAGCAACACGTACGTCTTGTTTTACAGCAATGGGGAATGGATTGCGTCTGGTCAGACGCGCACACGCCTTGAGCACACACATGAGGAGGCATTCCTCTACTCTACATTCGCTCCGTCTCATGCCGCAATCTGCACGAGTGAGCAACCCAACCCCACAGCTGAAGTCAGGCGTGCCCAGGCTCAGGCAACCAAGGCAGGAGAGCACTTCTTAGGCACGGGTATGGGTAGAAGTGCAGAAGGAACTTGTCGAGACGGGGTGCCGGCAATATTGGACGCAGAAAGCACCCTGGCATGCCACACTACCACCCTGCCCTGCTCAAGCACGGTTGCATTGTAATGGTAAAGTTTAGTCAACGCCAAGGAGGAGGCATAACCTTTCACCAAAGCAAACTGCGCCCCTATGTTATCAAGATAACTTACAAATTCCGTCTTTTTGGGCCGTGAGCTCCATACATCATACGCGATGGGCACTGCTATAATCTCCAACTCTCCGACGCAGGTTCGGCCGGCGCGGCCCAAAAATGGCAACGCGTCTTCAGGGCTCAAAGCCCTGTCATCACGCTCCCATGGGGCGAGATGAGCACTGCACCCAGACCCCCCGCACAATCCTCATGGAATGAGGCCTCGTAAAACCAAGGAAACATCGGTCCAAAAGCTTAGGCACAAACTTAGGGCATCCAGAACGAAAAACGTTCATATGAACTTCAAGGCGCACGTCAACTCAGAAGAAAGGCCCGTTTTGTAATGTACAGCATGCAAGTGAGTTGAAAGGATCTTGAGAGCATACCTGACGGCACGTCCAATGACCTAGGGGTCGGCAAAAGTAAGCTTGCCCCGTGAAATCAAACCTTCGGCCATGCTAAGAACACCCCTGCCAAAAACCTATTTGATAAGGGTATCCGGGTCGGATCTGCGCTTGTCAGTGTTGTTTACAAGAACAGTGCCCTCACCCGACCTGGACAAACGAAGCACTATGCCCAAAGCGGCCACGGAATCCAAAAAGGCGTCGGCTTTCGCACCCTCTGGAGCTCCAAACAAGTAACGTGAACAAGAGAGGCATCAAATTGCTAATGCTCTTCTCCAGGGCATCATCACTCAGGGCAATGTAAGCATCGTAGTATGAGCTGACTGCAATCCACAAGCATTTATTGGCAAGCCATTGAGTGCACCTCCCGCACCGGATAAAGTTGTTGACTGACGCTTCCGCTCCCAAGGGCAGGCACACCTGACGAAACCAAACAACGCGTTTGCGGCGCTGGTCGAAGACTGCGCTGATAGCGAAAGGCCGTGGCTCCTTGACACCGAGCTGGCGGTACGCAGACGTGAGATCGTAAGACCTTCCCACCAGCTGGGCCTTCCTACCTCTGTCTTTCAGCGCCCAACACAGATTTGGCGCCATAGCCGCGGCCACGTCCGCGGTGTCCACCGTAGGCGATTCCACCGTGGTCACACAGCAGTTGACACCAGTTTTTTTCACTCACAGCAGCCTTTGTCTAGGTCGCCCTGTGTAGGCCTTAACGAGTTGTTTAACTCGGAGCTTCTTGAGCTCAGCCGTGCTCGTGCCGTAGCACCCAGCAGCACCACTCGCTACGACCGGCGCTAGCGCCCTAGCATCGTAGCCAGACACTATACAAAAAGCGAGCTTACAATGTGAAACAACAGATCTACCATTCGGCGTCACACCGAACTGTACCCACGGATATTCCACTCTGTAGGTAGAGCAGCCAGGGATTATCAGTTCGCAGACGCAAATACCAGCAATGCATATCATATCAACCCACGCACTCCCATCATCAGTCAATACTGCACATGCCAGGCAAGTACCAAGGTGCTTGATAAGGCTCAGTAATGACCATTGAAGCCCAATGCGTCGAGCTGTGCTGTATCCTCCGGGCTGAGATTGCTGATATTGTTGTTGGCATATGCGACCAGCACCAACCGTTGCCCTTTCCAAGCCATTGTACCATGGAGCCAGTGAGAACGGAATATAACTCCTTGGTCCCCCAACGTGTATACCCGCCCCATCATGTCCCCGTTGGCGCTCTGTTGTGGCAACGACACGACCCAGAGTCCTCCACCCTGCCATCGCCCGCGTGGGATGATGTAGCTGGGTAGTGCTGGATGATTGTGTTTGTCAAGATGTGGTGCCATGTACGTGTTGAGATGCAAACCAAGCGAGCTGAATACATGTTGACTTCTGTGCCCTCTGACTAAGGCAACCAGTAGCCTCGCCATCCATGGGAAGACTTTGGTGTTGCGTGTCATCCCACACAGTCCTCCGGTCACGTAGCTCCCCCAAATCAACGTAAAGGAAGATCCCCCCTGTGGTGTGCTAGCGAACTCCACGCACTTGCGCTTTCTGGCCTTAGTAAGCTGCTGCAGGTGCTGAAGGAGGATCTGTAGCAAATCCTGGAAAGCGGCGACGTTCATGGAGCCACGATGTAGCATGCGAAATGCAAATAATTCCAAAGGATGTTCCGGTGGCTCCTCCATGGAAATGGCCGGCACTGCCAATATGTTCACATAATCCTCAGGCACATTCCACTGCTCTATCAGTTCCTCATGTGGAAGGGAATACGGAACCTCCACAGTAACATGTGCAGCTCGACTAGCATCCTCTCTGTTCCCTGGCGGCCTCTCCTCTGCGATCTCCTCCTCATCTGAGGTTTCAAGCTGCTCATCTG